TGGGAAATGGGAGGGAGTGGAAGAGGCAGGGGTGGGGCTAGGGCAGGACGGGGGCAGGGCTCCTCCAGACCTCTTTTTTCTTGCTGAAATATGGTAACCCAAGCTAGTTAAATCACCAAGAGGCAAGTCTCAATTTAAATCACTGGTTTTAATAAACTTTTCCATTTGTACTTCAGGTATTTTTTAAAGAGAGGCACATTCTCGCTGATTGATATAACCATTAAAACATGTTGATTTACAACTAAATAGAGCCTTTACGCTAGATTTGGTACATTTTTTGCTATCTAAGAATACACTATAACGATGTACATTTATTTAAGCAATTATATAGCTTATTATTTTGACATTCTTATCAACTGTACATTTAGGTATGTTTGAAAATGGTGAATGATTTGTTGCTTATTTACTAGATAATTATCTTTCTGCTCATGATTTGCATCAAGCTGCATTAGGATGGGAACTGGAGTTTAATTAAACACACAAGGCAGCATATAAAGTTTATGGTGATTAAACAAAACTACCTCAAATGTTTTGGATACTTAAACTTCTCTTATCAAAACATGTTTCATATTTTCAACTAAACAATTTGTTAAACAGATTAACTAGTGAGTGAATTAAACTGATTATTTCAGATCAGCCTGGGGCAAGTTTTCAAATATGCCTAAGTGAAAGTGACTGAAACTTAAGTTGCCTACTTGCCTAAGTCTCCTGAAAATGAGACGGTCTCTTAAATTAGCTAGCGTGACCTATTGTGCCATATTCATAAAGATTGATCTCAAATTAAGATCCCCCCCCCCTTATTCTTTCCTTATATAGAAAAGCAGCCTTTAGCTCACAGTTTTTGATAGACACTCATGGATTCAGCATTTTTTTTATTTAAACCTTTAAAGAGATTATAGTAAGTTTAGGCCTTAGCATATTTTGTATTAAAATCAGATTTCATTTTAATCAGGTTTAAAAAAAAATTAAACAAATCCAAATTTTTTTATTTTGAAAATCGATTGTTATCCACCCTGTTTCAGGTGGATAACATCTTAAAGAACAATAAGAGGGCTTTTCAATTACATTACACTAACTCAATTGAGCTAACATAATTGAAAACTCCATCCTATTTGCTGTCAAGCAGTGCCTGTTTTGTCTCCTGCCGCCCCCAATGTGTTTAATAAATAAGGATTTAATGTTTGTTATGCTGTCATCAGGAAAGAGCACAAAACCAGGGATACACCAGAACCTAACTGGTGAATGCAAATCATTGGGAAGGCTCTGGCAACTTATTTGTTAACACAGGGCTATAGATGAGATTTGATGTTACAAGTCAGGTACAGAATGAGAATAAGTTTCACAGAGCTTTTCCTGAATTTAGCTGGTTTCCATACCATGAGAAACCGCATTGTAAAATGGCATAGTGAGCTTCACGTTCCTCTCAATGACTCTGACAAACTTGGTCTGTTTGCAAATAAAATGGTGGCATTTCATATCCCAGCCCTGCAAACCCAGTCTGGGATCTGAGAGTTAAGCTGTTTTCCCTCCTAGCTAATGCATCATCAAAAGTAAAGATTCTGCAATGGACACTTAGTTAACAATTCTGCTACCAGTGCACAACCCAGAAGAGAAATCAGTTTGCCTTCTGTTAGTTATGCTGCTGCAGCAGCAACAAAAACAGAGCAAATTTATTTTAGTAAAGTCAGCTGATATGATTCAGAATAAAGGGGGCAGATCTGTTGAATAAGGAAGTTCAATATTGACCAAGTAATTTTCTGATGATATCACTTCATATATTTCTGAATCTACTGAAAGAAAATAGTAGCTAAACTTCCATTGTTATAAGAGTGCTTATAAAACAAAACTGGAATACTGAAAATGGCTTTCTATGCCCTTCTTGAACACCTCAAGCTTTTCCAACTCCACATGGGACAAAAACTGAGCCATCAAAGAAAGATAATGCAAACCCCCCTCAAACCAAAAAGATGGAGATCTAGATTCAGATTCTACTAGAGAAATGAGTTAGGGCCCAGTGTTCACTACACCAAGTGGTTTTGGCTCCTGTTCATATATGGGATTCTGTTCCTCCATTTTTAACATGCATTGGCAGACCAGGGCTGCTGCAGGTCAGAACTAGCAAACTACCATCCGGGGCACGAGTGGAGTAGCAGGGTTGAGATGCATAGGCAGAGATATAATGGGGACGTTTACACTGGAGTTTCATTCCCTGTTGTGCCGACTAATGGTATTAGTCGGACTTTCATCAACACTAAATTAATGTACAAACAAAATCTAATGAACTGGCAGCCCCGATGCAGGGTTCTCTAACTAGAATTCTAACATGAAAAAAAGGGTATCTGGGTCTGCTGTATTAGGTTTTTGAAATGTTTTAGGGGAAAATGTGTTGCAGAACAGTTAATCTACAACAAAGTGTCCTTTAGTATTTTGAAAACCAACATTTTTTCAAACAGCCCATGTAGATCTAGGGAAATACTTCCAGCATTCTTATGAGATGAACACCTATCCATATTGTGCTTGTAGTATAATGTGTTGGTATGTACAAAACAGCTCTGGATCTGTTGTCTGATATTTTAAGACAATTTTTTTCTTTCCATAGTGTGGGTCACATTTTAGGAATATCTCAGACACTTCCCTTCCTATGTGTGATTCCATGGACCATCTATACATAGCTTTTATGCTACCACCTATCACTGTAGTGGATTTGTGTAGTCTCTGGCACTTCTGCCTTTTCAAGGTAAAAACTCTGCTTCTCCCACTTGAAAACACTTAATATCCCTGTAGCAATAAGTTTCTTACATGGAAAGTATTTAACATATTTGCTGTCTTGTAGTGCAATTTAGTAGCTGAAATGGATGAGGACAGCCAACACCACATGGCCAGTCATTTCTCTGCAGACCACCAGTGGCATATGGACCACAGCTTGAGAACCTCTGGTGGACATGGACTGTAATATCTAGCCATTGCAATATTCTCGAGGTCAGTGTGATCTGACTCCACAGTATAAAGTATTCTGTGTGCTGGTCTTTTCTGTTCAAGCTGCATTTATTAAAAAAAAAAACCTGAAGAGTTTCATTTTCAAAGGCTGCTTCTTTTAAGTCTTGTGATCTGATGGCCATTTGCTTTAAAAGTGAATCAATAACTTTTCCGCTGCAAAGGGACCACACACAGAGCTATTCAAATCAGTGATGTGAAAAAGGTCCAATGTACTACTGTCAACATCTAACCATCAACAAGTAAGAAATCCTTCAGAATGACAAGCAGGGACTAAAAAACATGGTTTGAATCCAACAGAATATAATACGCCAAGATTAAAATAAGGTGGTAGCAAACATGAGAATGCCAGTGTTAGTGTGTGAATAAACTCATTTTTGAACAATTCAGTCTGATGCCAAACTTGAGTTTTCTCCATGCTGCCAGTTCACATCTCTCTCTGCCTCCCTACAAAGTATTGCCACAGACACATAGTTTGATGGCAAAATACATCAAACTTGCTGTTGCTCCCTTCAGAGAGTTAAGCTGTAACAGTACACTTGTATAGCAGTGGAGTTGTCAAACCCTATTAGCAGAGTTCAGTTAAATCTTAACTGTGGAGGGCAAGGCAGCCTACACAATCTTCCAGCCTGATTGCAGGAAACAAAACCCATTAAATGGGACTGCAGTTTAACATGGTCTCTAGAGCAGATTTTATATACAATTCTAGTTACAGAAATGGCCTTGCTGAGAGGATCAGCTGTAATCCCGGTGAGACACAGCAGTTTGCTAATACTTTCTGTCAGTATGAATGTCCCTGCTGGCTATTTACTGTTCAAAAATGGACTACAGTGTAAAATTAATAAATACTCTAAACTGAAATGCCTGTCTGCCAATTTTCCTGTATTTCATAAGGCAGGGAGAAGAGTGAAATTCTAATAACCATAAGCTTGCATTACCAGCTAAGGCTCCATTATAACCTCTTGTTCTCAAATATCTACATTTCTGGGAGGGGAGGGAGGAAATCTCACTTTCAGCTGAAAGTTTCCAGTGTTGGACTCAGCAAAAAAGTGGGTTTTTGGGAAGTTTGAGCAGTATCCAATTGCCCATTTTTACACTTTGTGAAGCTGGAGAGAAATATATGTATATGCATAAGTCAACTGCACAAGCAAAACGCCTGCCTGAGCAACTGTCTTCAGAGCAATTTTTACATTTGTGGAGGAGGAAAAAAAATCTCTGGAGTTTGATTTGTTTAAAAAAAAAAAAAGCATGGCAGGTCAGTGTGCTTTGAATGTTAGGCTGGTTCCCATGGGTTTTAGATTAAAGGACACAGGATAGGTAAAACTGTCAATGAGGCATGACGAATTCCTGTATCTTGTCTCTAGAACTGGACATGTTTCTCACCTACATATGTGACATATGCACATTTATACTACATGAGGAGGTAACATCTGATAAGGCAGCCAGCGTGCACTATGAATTCCTTTATCTGTCCTCTGACTAATCAGTCTTCCCCAAATCACCCATACAAAGATAGGATGAATAAGTTTTGCTTTTAAATGGCTCAAAGGCAAATAGGGAGAGAAGATCTAAACAGTTGGAGAGGGCAGAGAGGGTGATAATATCTCACTTAAGACTAGGCAGCTTTCAGTAAGCCCAGCTGTCTACAGGGCAGATCCCAGCTGGCATGAATCAGGGTTGATCTAATGAAGTCAGTGGAGTGACACCACCTTCTAAAAGCTGAGAATCTAGCCCCCCTCTCTTAGGGGTTCTGTACTAGAAAACAGACATACCCTAAAGGCCAAGGTGCTGATCTTTCAATTAACTAATGAAAAGGTGCAGATCATGCTAGTATCAAATGCTACTTTCAGGCAATAATTTAACAGTACCAACCCTCTTCTCCTCCCTCCCCCCAACTTTAGTGTAATTGAAACCTGTCATTGAAAGAAAGGTAATTTATAAGCTATACCTTTGGGGTATCGACTCTTTCTTCTTCCATGAATGCTGACTCTACGTGGCAGCTGGATGGGGGAAAGGAGAAGGCTTCTGGAGCTGGCGGGAGGCCCGGAGACCTCAGCAGCCTTACATTCTGTGAACGCAGGTTCACTGTGGGCACCGCAGCTTGTGTCTATGAGATATAACAAAACCAAACCATCTTAGGGCGAAAGAGGAATCATGAACAATGAAAACACAAAGATAACTGCAAATACAAAACCTGGTATCAGGGATCCCCTGAGGAGTGTAGATTTTTCCGCTTATCACTGCATGATAAGGAGGGAACCTTGGTACCAGTCAGGCTTTTGTCATGTTGGATAAAGGGAGAGACGTGCTTGAGCTAAATTCCTTCAAGGTCATTGGCATACAAGTGTCATTAACATTAAAAACATAGTCCTGCTCAAAGGTAGTGGGTGAGATTTACTGCCTAGTTCTTCATCCAGAAACACAGCCTCGCAGGCTTAGACTTCAGAGTTCATTTAGTATATAGAAAGATTTACATTTCTGAACAAATAGCATCTCTTCAAAGATGGCAGAAGAAAATTGCTTGGAATCTGCAGATGCTCCAAACTGCTCATGCTTTCCATGTTCCACAACCCCTTTTCATGGTTCCTTTCCTCTGTCATAAACTGATCAAAGTTTGAAAGTCTCATTTTAAAAACTTGTTGTATAAGAAATCTCAGAGTTACAATGAGGCAAATGGCTATTTTAAGCTGTTTGTGACTGTCTAAAGATCATCCCACCTGGTGACCCCTATGGAACAAGACACAAAGGAATGGGAAGGATTCAGATGTGAAGCCGGGCACCTTGAGAAGGGGCTGCTCTCCTGGAAATACAGTATTGAAAGCAAAGGGGCACCAAACTCCAGGCAAATGTGGTGAAATCAGGAAACTGACAATAGACTGGAACAAATTATCATCATAGTCACAGGCCTGATTATGTGCTTGTGTGTAACACAGGCACAGAATGATCACGTAATTACACCTGCATGGGCTGAGCAACAACGAGTGTTTACAAAAACAAAGTTCCATACAAAAATATTAATCAGACTTAAAGAAATAATAAGGACCCCAAGTGTAAACAAGGCTCTAGTAGCTTCTGCTATTTTACTGATATTGTTGATAGGGTAGTCAAAAGGCTAGAAAGCTGCACAGCTTTTTCTACACCAGGGCTCCTCTATCTACAGCTGAACAAATGGTACCACTGGTGGGAATATTAGTGAAATTCCCTAGCATAGACACAGCGAGCATCAATCATTTGTGTTCCTGAGATTTCCTCAACAGCCTGAATGACTTCCAAAGCATCATGTGATTTACAAATGTGTCCATTAGGGATAGCGGTGTCTGATCTGTGTTTTCAGAGACGATACAGATCCTGCCTTCCACTTCAGGAGAATGCAAAGCACAAAATGCCTTACAATTAGCCCCCAGAGCACCATCACTGCTCTGACTCCTCCTGGAAAAGAGCAATGCACGAAGCCTGGTAGCCACTAGATGCAGACACATCTAGACACAGCAGCACTCAGTGTACAGAAGGGACCAGCAACGTGACACAATATACATATTCAGTACCATTAAAACTTGACTGTATGAGTCATCTTAGGCCAATTATTTTAATAGGGCCACGTCTCTCATGTTTCCAGTTAGGCATTAATGGAAATTATAAGCCAGGCAATATTTTTGCACTTTAATGAAACAGGAGAGCATGTAAAAGGAACTCTAAGGGAAGTATTGGAACAAAACATGATAAACTGTACATGACCTTTCTGTTCGGAGGAAGTAACTAGGGAATAAAGACAAACGGCAAGAGTGCCCCAGAGCCTGTACTGAATCCATCCGTTTTGGAAGCGTAACTGAAGAAGATACGGAGTAGATAGCCTCCTGGAATGTAGAGGCCAGTGTCCGAGCCGTGAGCACCCAGATGCTGTTCTTGTGAGTGTTGATAAAATACATGTGACATCTTTGAGACTCAAATCAATTAGTTAATAGGTAGACTGGGTTTGCTCACACAGAGGTGCTGGAAAACCTCAACGGAGTCATTTGCAGTACTCAGCCACCTGTGCGACAGGATTGCTGGCAAAACTCGACTCCTGACCACATCTCAGGAGATCCTCATGCTGGTCTCAGGAGAAACCACATTGTGTTCAGGGATAGGTATATACACCCTTGAGGCACTAAGTATATGAAGATGATATCTGTTGCGTAGATATCACAATGGATCGGTACCTTAGATAAGGAGATCAGACAGACCAACCCTAGAGAGTTGTCTTGGGTATGACCTCACTTCTTCTCCAGACTTAAGTGCAAACAGAATGCAGAGCTCAAGAACAGCAATGGGGAAAGTTAGGGTTAATTTTCAAAGGGTCCCAAGAGACTGTGTGTGTAAGAGCACCGAACAGAATGTGCTGACCATCAGCCTCTGTGCTGATACAAACTCCTTTCACGCATCTCTAAATAATCCCCTGTAAGAAGTTCAGCTGCTCATTTGCAGATTACATTCAAGGTACTTGGAGCACAGAGGAGTCTGCAGGCTGAGTTGATGGAGAAAGACAAACCTCAGTTACTGACAGCAAAGAATGCCAAATCTTCAGAATCATAGAATCTCAGGGTTGGAAGGGACCTCAGGAGGTCATCTAGTCCAACCCCCTGCTCAAAGCAGGACCAATCCCCCGACAGATTTTTGCCCTAGATTCCTAAATAGGCCCCCTCAAGGATTGAACTCACAACCCTGGGTTTAGCAGGCCAATGCTCACACCACTGAGCTATCCCTCCCCCCAGAAACATTCCATTAAAGTAGTGCAACATCACACTTTTCATTTTTATGCCCCCAAAAGCTGCCCCAGGAATGTTGAGGGTGAAACAGAACTACTCAAACAATGAACTGGGGGTTAAGAATTAAACTCCCTGTACCCATTAAGCCTGAGGACAAGTGAAATCATCTTTGGTAGCTTCAGCCCCAGAGTGTAAAGTCAGGCCATGTCCAATTTGCTGCTGCACTGAGCCAACAGCCTCTGCTTTGTTCACCTGAGGTAGGAGGCAAGATCCTTCATCAAGGACAACTAGGTGTGTGTGCACAGGCCATGAAGTTGGGGTGATTCATTGCAGGGAGTAGTTCTGATCCAGTCTGGCCTCTCAGTGACCACATGCCCTCTCCAAGCACAGTGACCCTAGTGCTCATAAAATGAAACAGGAAAATTAGCCAGCCATTTGGGAATTGGCCAGTTTCCAAGGGTTCTCATCCCATTGCTTACACAGACATACAGACAATTGGTACCTAGGGTCTCTCATGATTTGACAGGACCCACAACTCACAACAGGATGAGTCACAAACAACTGTCTTGTCATATGATGGTTCTGAACAGAACAAACGCAGAACACTCTGCCCAGAGCAACACCGAAAAGCTTGGGATTCTGAAGACACAGGAAGGCAAAGGATCCTCTGACACAGAGCTACCTAGGAACAAGAGCTTTCTGAAACAAGAACATTTTGTGCAGTGTTCAGTCCCATCTCTGCCTGGAATTAGGAGTTACCTTGGCGACTGTTTGTTCAGCAATGGTGCTTGGCCGACGCTGACGAGCATCAAGTCTCTGCTCCACAGGGAAGCTACTCCGATGTGACTTGAGTCTCTCCACTAACAGGTAATAGATAGCAGCAAAGTGGTTATAACTCTTGTTCTGCAGAGACTGAAAAGAGAAACAAGTGTCTAAATGCAGCCAACCCTCCATTCTCCAAAACCACAAAATAAGGAGCTAGGAGAAAAATCGCACTTTTATCAAAAACAAAATCAAACGCTTAAAGGGTGAGGGGGTCTCAAGCAAGTGTCAATCTGGAAACCAATCAGCTGAGAGACAGTTTCAAGCCAGAATGGCAAAGCAGAGTGTCAGCCTCTTGAGGCTCAATGGTTCTGTGAAGTTCAAAAGACCAAGTAGCTGCAGCTGCATGTGGAAGCCTGCTTCCAGAGTTAGTGCTCAGTGTGTGCCTGTTGGCAGTGATAGTTGGCATCTGTAGCCCAAATGCCTTTCTGAGCCCTCTAAGACTGGCTCTTCGCCATCTGAAGAGAGCAAGCGCCATGACCTCACTCATAAAGGGTAGGCTACTCCAGATCCTCACCAGCACTGGGGAATTGATCCCTGGAGAGCCTGTGCACACACTCAGCCCTTTCTAGCAAGAAGTGTGAATAGTGCAGCCTCCACACTTGCTAAAAATACCAGCCATTCTAAGGAAATGATCATGCTGAGTCCTGAGGGAGTCTTTTGAGCATTTATTTCTGGCAGGAGGCACGATTTGGAATCCAAGGAAGACAGTCAATGCTTGCTGCTCTTATGCTTCCTTTTACTCTCCTCTGAATTTCACATCCCCACGCTTTCAGAAGCATAAATCCAAATGATTTTGCTTCTGATTTTGCCCCCCTCCATATGCCAAATGATGCTTTCCCCAATACCACCCAGTGAATCTAATGGAGCAGAAACCAACACAGCTCCTTGGCTTTGTTTTTCTGCCTAAGAATCAGCTTTACTGTCCACACAGAGCAGTGGGGGGGTCCAGGGGGGGTGTTTCTATAAGTGGCAAGCTTCTGCATCCCAACAGGGGATCTTAAAGGGCTATCACTTTACAGGAATTATTCACAGGCATTTCAGTTTGCTCCGTGATCCACTATAACAAATTGCAACCCCAAATGTTTGCAAGTGCACTCAAATAAAAATACCAACCAATAATTAATAAAAGAACCACCTCCAGTTCTGGAGGCCCTGGGATACATGGAGTGAATTCATTAGCCTTTCCCCTCTGGAGCCAGTGGTTCATTCCAATTATGATTCCCAGCACAAATGAAAGTTAATTAGGTGATTTCTTCCCAGGTCCCACTTTTTACATAAGCCCCACACATTTTGCTATGACTGGCAGTATCTGCACAACAGAAGCCCAGCTCACTGATAAGCTCATCGCATCCAGAAGAACCTTTCCAGTTATTAGAGACATCCTTATTCCTCTTCTCTCTTATTAATCAGTGACAAAGAATTGGGGCCAAAGCTGGCTAGAGCAGGTGTGAACTGCAGGATTCTTAAACCTTCCAGAAGCTGGAGCATATTTTCTGTAACTTGCCTTCCCTTGAAAGGGCCTGTGCAACTGATAATACAGCAGCAGCTTGACTTTGTTGCAAGAGTAACAAAAAGAATGCGATGAGAGACTCAGGTAACATCTAGATTAAATAAAGCAGGACAGTAAATGGGCTCATTCTGGGGTTATAGCTCTGGGGAAGGTCTATTTTACCTCAATAGTTTTCTGTTGGTCTATTCCAAGGCTGTGCATCAGCCGCAAAACCTGCTCATTATACTCTCCAATGGAAGGCTCGTTCTCCTGTCCTTGTGGATAGAGAATGGGTCTCTGCACAGGAACTTCTATTAGCATCCATTTATGCTCCTTAATCTGAGCAACTGTCAATCTCTTGGATGGGTCTAGGACCAGCATTCTCCTGATCAGGTGCTCACACTCTGTTGGGATAAAAATAAAGTAAAAAAGGGAACATGCTACAAACTCCTAGCAAAGAGGCTACAGTGCACACACTGTATTAATCTGACACCTACTGATGAAGAGCAACAACAACAGGAAACTGTCCTAGTTCTACCTCATTTTTGTGCTAAATAAATTTCCTGAAAGTTAAAATAATCTTTTGAGCTAAAGACTTCAGTTCACACCAAGAAAAAAAATCAACTTATTTAAAAAATGTGCTGTTTGGGGGAGGGGTGTCATTAATTCTAAGCATCTCCCAAAAAACAATAATAATGTTATTTAAAGCTCAGAAAGCCACTTGATACATTCAAAACAGTGTCCCTTTAATTTCGACTAGACTATTGGCAGCTTCTTCAGGGCCTGCAGGCCAGTACCCGCATCATTGATTTTGGGGTTACGCTATCAAACATTTCCTCATTGTCTGTGATTAAGAGTGACAGAGCAAGACCCAACAACTGGATCAATCAAACTAGGAAAAGATCTGATAGTCTTATAACAACAAACAACATCATCATCATCATGTGGGTGTGCCACAGATTTAAGACTCTGACACCCATATGAGTTGGTTATGTGGTTTGTTGGGGTTTGTTTGTTTGCTTTTGTTTAAAAGAAGAAGTCAAAGAAAACAGGAAAACCCAATCTGCATTACACTAAAATTATGGTGGTTTTATTTTTCCCTGCATTTGCTTTCCAAACTAAAATGAATGTTTGTTTTGTTGTCTTGGAGAGTGAAAACTACTTGCTGTTTTTATCTGTGAATTTTTTTCTGTTTCTAATCAGAGGTAGGAAGTGGGACACTCCTGTTCATCTACACTCATATTCATTGTTCATTAATGACTCCGTTGTCTTGTCCACCATTTGCAGTTTAAGAGTTTAATTTAATCGAGCTTAAAATCCCCAAAGCATAAGGACAAATATATTACCTTCTGACATGAAATAGGGGATCCTGAACCTTCCTTCCAGAACCCGTTGTCTCAGAATAGGGAGTGTAGGTCCATCGAAAGGTAACGCTCCACAGACTAGAACATAAAGAACTACACCCATGCTCTGCAAAACAGAGAACATTCCTGCTTTTACCTTTCAGATGCACACAAGTACTCTTTGCTCTGAGTTTTGCTAGTGAAACCCCAGGCTGTCATTGAAAAAATTAAAGTTGTTTCTACATCCTGCAGAAACAGTGTTAAAGAAAAAGGAGTCATATACCTGAAAACCCCTAAACCTTAAGAACCCTCAGCTAACCCAAAATGGCTAGGTTTGCAGTGCCTTTTGCTCATCAGCAGGGTAAAGCTGCTGTGTGTAATGGACTAAAGACTCCGGCTGCTAGTGCAAAGCTCCATACAGGTGACTGAATGATACATGAAAAATGAGCTGCTACTTCAAGTGAGATTTAAAGTCACTCTTTACTACATCAGAATATGTTCAAACAAAAAAACCCACCCCAAATTCCAGTTGTTCAGAACACAGAAACCTCAACCTCTCCTGTTCACTTTCTTGCAAAGTTTTAAGGGAAAAAACCCACTAATGTTTGCATGGACTGTGATGGCTGTGATTCTGCACTGCTATGTGCAAAGCCCATTGAGGGATTGCATAAGATGTGCAAGGAGATACACACAACCAGAACAGCAGCATTAAGCCAAGTGTCAGATTCATTTCTGAAACTGTGTGTTAATTGGCAATATGTAGGTGGAAACAGTCTTGCTACATTTGCCAAAGAAGATAGTGCCATATGGAATTAAATGACCATACCACACCCTGGGGACATGAGTCTGTACGGGTAGACATGCCACTAGGTGCCTCAATGGAAAGGAAAAGCATTCTAAAACACACACCAAAACTGGGCCAGCATCCTGAGATTTTAAAACTAAAAATATTAAAAATCAATGTCTTTATTTATCTGCCAAAACCTGAGCTGAGGATTATGTCTTCCTCCTGCCAACTCAGCTTTTTAGAGACTATTTCCATTAGCTGCTTTAGCAGTTATCAACTGTAGCACAAGAAAGACAGTATCCTGAACTCAGGTCTTGGCAGGTATGTGAAGGAGGAAACCGCTTTTCAGATGTTTTGTTTTAAAATGTAAATACACTTGTGTTTTTAGTTTACAAGGAGATTTTTTTTAATGAGCTGAGATCTTAAACGATTAAAAAAGCTCTGCAATTCACTTTTCACATTCAAACACCACTCACATTATTCTGAACCTTGTGCATGGTTGGAGAGTAATGGGTTATTTGGCAGTTACAGGATAATAGGCTCAGCAAAGATGTAACCTTTACTCATTAAAAAGGAGTGCTTATGGGGACATGTTTATTTACTAAAACAACATGGATCTCTTTAGATGAGCAGCTGCAAGGTGAACGTCTATGCACTGCCCTGTTGGTGAACTGAGCTCTCACTCAGAAATTAATCTGCCTCTCTCACATGTATGTAGTATTAGCACTGTGCTTCTGGCGCCAAAGCACAGACTGCCGAATTGCACTGTATCTCTGGGTGCTTCAGGATATGGACACATCATCATCAAGACCAGAACACTAAAATTCGATTAAAAACAAATTCAGAATGAAAAGTCTCATGTTTGACAGTGCATTAAAGAGTGCAAGGAACCCTGCTCTGTGCATGTTTCTCCCTCTTTCACTTCATGCGATTTCGGTTGTCCTCTCTGTCCTCTTCCATTAGTGCAGTAAGCAGGGAAACACACACACTGATTCAACACTATGCATCTGCCTGCAGCAGAATGGCATGGGGCACATAGCTTCTTCTCTTTCTCAACTCAGAGAGAGGGCAGCCGGCAGCTCCCTCCCCTTTGTGTTAGTGACTCAGACTCATCAACAATTTACATCTTGAACTCCTGTAGGAGAAGGAAGCAGTGCAGTGAAGCAGGGACAGTCATGCAAAGAACCTATTCAGAAAAAACGATTACCTACCTCTCATAAGTGTTGTTCTTTGAGATGTGTTGCCAATGTCCATACCAATTAGGTGTGCGCATGCAGCGTGCACGATTGTCGGAAGGTTTTTCCTCTAGCGGTACCTGTTGAGTTGGCTGTGGAGCCCCCTGGAGTGGCGCCTTTATGGCGGTGTATATAGGTCCCTGCCGGCCCGCCACCTGCTCAGTTCCTTCTTGCCGGAATACTCCTACAGAGGGGAGGCGGGCAGGATTTGGAATAGACATGACCACATCTTGAAGAACAACAGTTACGAGAGGAAGGTAACAGTTTTTCCTTCTTCGAGTGCTTGTTCATGTCCATTCCAATTAGGTGACTCCCAAGCCATACTCTTGAAGGAGGGATCGGAGTTCATCTGGTTGCAGATTGCAGCACTGCCCTGCCAAACGCTGGCATCTCTGGACTGTTGCGAAATTGCGTAATGCGAGGTGAAGGTGTGGCTAGAGGACCATGTGGATGCCCTGCATATATCCTGAATGGGCACTTGAGCTAGGAAAGTAGCAGATGACGCTTGAGCTCTTGTAGAGTGCGCCATCAATGTCGGGGCTGGAATCTTGGTCAAGTCGTAGCAAGTCCTGATGCATGACGTGATCCAGGATGATATGCGTTGGGAGGAGATGGAGAGCCCTTTCATCCTCTCTGCGACAGCGAAGAAGAGCTGTGGGGACTTCCGAAATGGCTTCGTGTGCTCGATATAGAAAGCCAGAGCGCGTCTCATGACCAAGGAATGAAGCATGCAATCTCTGTTATTGGCATGCGGCTTGGGAACAAAC